GTGTGGCAGCATCCGCGTAGGGCCGCAATGGTTGTGCCGCGCTTTGGTGGAGAAAACACTTGAATCTCGATGATTGCCCAGACAAGAGCCGCATGTAATTACCTCGTCCGCATGGGTACCCAAGCCGTGTTTACGCATGTCCGTGTTCGCTTCCTGCCCGTCCGTGTCTACGCAGCACTCGGGCTTATATTCCCTCGTAGGCTGCGAGCCGTCGATGCTGCCCAGCCAGGTCCGCGCTGACGGTGCTGCCGTCTTGTTTCGTCAGTCGGCGAGTTTCGGACTCGTCCACGTCCAAGCGGTACTTCAGCGGGCGATACTCGTGGTTGGGTTATGCCATTTTGCTTCTTCGGCCAGCGCTAAGTATAGGACTCGTACACGTCCGAGCGGGACCCAGGCGCGCATTGATTGCCGTCTGCGATGCTTGTGTCTTGGGCGGGGGGTCCAGCCCACAAAGGCCGCTGCCAGCTCGGGACGCCGACCTGCCTTTTGATGCCGTCTACGCCATCGCCCAGTCCGTCTCTTCCCCCCCTCCTCTTCCTCCTCCTCTTCATCCTCCTCCTCTTCCTCCTCCTCCTGCTCCTCCTCCTCCTCCTCTTCCTCCTCCTCCTCTTCCTCCTCCTCCTCCTCCTCCTCCTCCTACTCCTACTCCTCCCCCTCCTCCCACCCCTCATAACCGTCGTCGTCATCATCAGCATCGCCCCTGACTTAGTACGTATTCCCCTTCTGCCTCGCCTTGTTCCCTCTGCTCCTTCCCCCCTCCCTATCCATCAAGCCCGCTTCTGACGCTGTTTTTTACCCCAGTCCTTCGGGCCATGGAGGAGGAGGAGGAGGAGGAGGAGGAGGAGGAGGCGAAAAAGAAAGGGCTTACTCCTGCTCCTCCTCCTCTTTCTCCTCCTCCTCCAGTCCTTCTCCTTATAGATAACTTCTCCCTGTCGCACCCCGAGGCCGGTTTTTAGGGCTGGTCGGGCGTTTCGCCTGAGAGGTCCTCACCGTTGACGCCTCGGAATTTTGAAAAGTGACAGCAGTTTCACAGATGAACGGCGGGTGGTTTTCAAAATGTTGTTCTCGCCTGAGTGCCGCGCACATTCGTTTTAAGATTTGCAAGAGCTTCACGGATTGAGGGCGGTTCCTTTTCAAAATGTGGTTCTCGCCTCAGCGCCGCGCAGCCGCGCACACTCGTTTTTGTTTTTGTTATGCAAGAGCTTCACGGATTGAGGGCTGGTCGATTTCAAAATTTGGCTCTCGCGTTAGCGCCGCGCACATTCGTGCTTCAATGGTGCAAGAGTTCCACGGAGTGTGAGCGGCTCTTTTTCAACATGTGGCTCTCGCCTTAGCACCGCGCACATTGTTTGAATAGTTGCACGAGCTTCACGGGATGGGGCTGCTCTTTTTCAACATGTGGTTCTCGCCGTAGCGCCGCGCACATTCGTTGTTAAAATGTGCAAGAGCTTCACGGATTGAGGGCGGGTGGTTTTCAAAATGTGGTTCTCGCCTTCGCGCCGCGCACATTCGCTTTAAACATGTGGAAGAGCTTTGCGGATTGAGGGCGGCTCGGTTTCAAGATGTGTTTTTCGCGCTAGCGCCGCGCACCCTCGTTTTATGTTTAGTATTATTAGTAGTGTTATTATTAGTCGTATCATTATTAGTCGTATTAATAGTGTTACCATTATTATTGCTATGTTTTAATAGTATGGTTATTACTAGTTTTATTATTATTATTAGTAGTAGTAGTAGTAGTAGTAGTAGTAGTAGTAGTAGTATTGTTACTCGTATTATTATTTCATTATTATTAGTAGTATTATTACATTTAGTATGATTATCATGATTTTGTTTTTTTTATTTTTTATTGGTGTTCTTATTATTAGTATTAGTGTTTTTAGTGCTAGTATTGCCATTATTATTAGCATCATTATATGGAATGTCAGAGTTTCACGGATGCCCAAAACCAGCGTAACATATTGGGTGTTTTGGAAAGGTTCAGCAGTGTGAAGGCGCAATGGTTACGTTGATTCGCGGTGTTGAACTCCCACGAACGGTGCTCTGGCAAGACTCAGGACCGCCAAGACGCAGCAGTCAGGTTGACACGTGGCGTTGAAATCCAGAGAACGATATTTTGGCACGCTTCAGGACCTGCAAACTGTTGTCTTCCAACAGGGCAGTTCCCTCAATGGAAATGAGCCGTTGTAGGGGCCTATGCAGAGGGAGCTTGGAGGGAGGGCTAATTCCAACTTCGTTGACGACTCTTGGGTTTCCACTGGTCCTCCTCCTTTTCTTCTTCCTCCTCCGCCTCCTCCACCTCCTGCTCCCGCTCATCCTCCCGCTCCTCCTCCTCCTGCTCCTCCTCCTCCTCGTCCTCCTCCTTCTCCTCCTCCCTTCTCTTCCTCCTCCTCGTGCTCCTCCTCCTCCTCCTCCTTTTCTCTCCTCTTCCTCCTCCTCCTCCACCACCTCCTCCCCCTCCTCCCCTTCCTCCTCGTCCTCCTCATCTTCCTCCTCCTCCTCCTCTTCCTTCCTCCTTCCTCTCTCTCCACAGTACTCAAATGAATACTACTCCTCTCCCTCGGTCCCCCGACGGCGGCCTGAAAGAGTAGACCCTCCGCGTACTGTTTTTTACACACAGGATCCCGGGAAATCCCGGGAAACGACTCTCGCTGAGGCGCCGGCGTCATTTTTTCCCAAAATGCTGCTCTCGTTGAGGCGCCGGCCTCATTTCTGCTCCCGAATCGTTCCGAATCGTGCTCCCGCCGCAGCGTGGGCCTCATTTTCGGATCGGTGTTTGGCCTCCGTCGTTCAGGATGGCGTTCTCGCCCCAGCGCGGGCCTCTTTCTCGCGCGCCCATCCGCCCGCCACACCGCGCCGCACCACCACCACCACCACCACCACCACCACCACCACCACCACCACCACCACCACCACCACCACCACCACCACCACCACCACCACACCACACCACCACCACCACAACCACGCACACCGCACGCACGCAGCACGCACGCGCACCACGGCCCACTACGGCACGCGCGCGCGGAGCCACAGGTCCGCTACGACACGGCGTCCGCGGATTAGAGGG